ACAACGATGGTTTTGTGGAAATAATGGCAAACGAGTTTGAGGCTAAGTTATAAAAGGCATTGAAACGTTGAGTCTGCTCTCTGAAATCAGTTGCTCTGCAGGAAGCCAGCTTCCATGATCCTCAAGCGGCCTTAGAACAAAGAGACAGCCAACAGCCAGCACAACTTGCCAGTCACTTGAGTGAACCATCACTGAAATGGTTCCTCCAGCCAAGCCTTCAGATGACTTCAGTCCCCAGTCAACACCTTGACCACAAGTTCATGAAAGACCGTGAGTGGAAACTTCCAGCCAAACCTATTCCTGAATTCCTGACCCACAGAAACTGTGTAAGATAATAAATGCCTATCGCTGCTTTAAGGCACTAAGTTTTAGGATGAATTTGGCATATGAAGGTTTGGGGACCTGGAAATGGGGTGCAGCTATAACAGAAACCTCAAAACATGCGTGTAGATCTAAACTTTGGCTGAAGCCAGGAGGGTTTTCAGGGGAGTGTTAGTGAAAGCCTAAAGGACATTAAAGATATTATTAGTAGAGAAGCATGATTTGCCTTTGAGGAGGATCCCAGGGAAAACCTAAAAGAAATTGGGGGAAGTTGGAAGAAAGGCAACTCCTGTTACAGAGGAGCAGAAAGTTGAACAATGCTGTCGCCTGGGGCAACATGGAAAATCGACCTAATGAAGTGTGCAGTTCAGCTCAGGAGAGTAGAGACATTGGCTTTGTTTCGTTTTGTTTTATTTTACCAAAAAGAGGTGGCTCTTGATAGTTCAGAAAGTCCCAGCATCCCCAGATGGCTAATGATTTTAAAATTAAGAAATGGCTCCCAGGCAAAGGTCAAGTCCAGGCAAAGTCAGGAAAACATGGTATAAACATGAAGCCGACTATGTGGTTGTAAAAACAAACAAACAAATGAACAAACGAGGCGTAAAACTTCGGGAATATCTAAGGCAATGCCTCAGAGAACTGTTCAATAAAACAAGGCCTCCAAGCAACTCACGGCTTCTGTCCCTCAGTTATCTAGGCAAAATCCCAAGGCAGAAAAAGAGCTAATCCCAAAGAGATTTCTGAATGTGACTTTTGTCTAATGGCACGAATCCCCAGTAAGGTTCACAGGAGACCTATAAAGTTTTTATGAGAATTGTATGGGCAAAAATACCGCCAGCTTGAATTGAAAAGTAAAGAAACAGAACAAATTTATAAAAAAGACTTTGGACCTTCAAACTTCTACAGTCAGAAAGCAGGCTGAGAAAACTTCTCACTTGCAAACAAAATCTACATTTCGTGAAAATGGAAGATTGACTCAGAAGCTAGAAACAAATGCTCAGGCCAAGAGCCATGGAAAATTCTTCTCAGGCTCTGAGTCTTTTTTTTTTTTTTTTTCTTTTTTTAAATTTACATCCAAGTTAGCATATAGTACGATAATGATTTCAGAAGTAGATTCCAGTAATTCATCCCCTGTGTATAACACTCAGTGTTCATCCTTACAAGTGTCCTCCTTAATGCCCCTCACCCATTTATCCCATCCCCCCACCCATAACCTCTCCAGCAACCCTCAGTTTGTTCTGTGTATTTAAGAGTCTCTTATGTTTTGTCCCCTCCCTGTTTTTATATTATTTTTGCTTCCCTTTCCTCATGTTCATCTGTTTTGTATCTTAAATTCCACATATGAGTGAAGTCACATGGTATTTGCTTTTCTCGGACTGACTTATTTCACTTAGCATAATACCCTCTCGTTCCATCCACATTGTTGCAAATGGCAAAATTTCATTCTTTTTGATTGCTGAGTAATACTCCATTGTACACACACACACACACACACACACACACACACACCATACCACATCTTCTTTATCCATTCATCCATCGATGGACATTTGGGCTCTTTCCATACTTTGGCTATTGTCGACAGTGCTGCTATAAACATGGGGGTGCATGTGTCCCTTCGAAACAGCACACCTGTATCCCTTGGATAAATACCTAGTAGTGAAATTGCTGGGTCATAGGGTAGTTCTATTTCTAACTTTTTGAAGAACCTCCGCACTGTTTTCCAGAGTGGCTGTGCCAGCTTGCATTCCCACCAGCAGTGCAAAAGAGACCCTCTTTCTCTGCATCCTCGCCAACATCTGCTGTTGCCTGGGGTGTTCATGTTAGCCATTCTGATGGGTGTGAGGTGGTATCTTGGTGTGGTTTTGATTTGAATTTCCCTGATGATGAGTGATGTCGAGCATTCTTCCAGGTGCCTGTTAACCAGGCTGTGAGTCTTCATCAAGGAACTGTCAACTGTGTGTTGCTAAATTTAAGAATTGCTATGGACGATCGATTCTTGTCTCCTCTTTCCTTTCTTGTTGACAGGAGAGTTTCTAGCCGTTACTATATACCTGTCCCACCAATGTATGTTGAGTGTGTGGGCTGCATGTAATTTGTCTCTTTAGTTCACAGCTGTTCAGATCGAGAGGAGCTGTATTTGAAGAACTATTCTCAAGGAACCACCCTTGAGAGAATTCATCTTCCCCGGACCTGATTTCATCAATGAGATCCTGGACTTCTAACCGATGGTATCAGACTTTGGGAGACCCTGCGAGAGCAGCTAGTGAATTTTGCATGTGGGACAGACACGAGTCATTGGGGTTGACATCTTGACTGAAATCTTGCCAGAGGCCCCAAGCCACAGACGCCCAACTAAGCCGTTCTCAAATTTGAGACTTACAGACTGTGTGAGATAGTAAATGTTAACTGTTGTTTTATTGTTAGGCTTTTATGTAATTTGTTTTTGCAGCAATCAATAACTAATACAAAATGAATCACAGTATTTGACTCAGCAGTAAAATTTATTTATATATTACATTTCATAGTAATGTTTAAAATGATAATAGAACTACATTAGAGAAAGGGGCAGGGTAAGCAGCCAGAGATATAAGAGAGCGAAATACTTACTACCTTAACAGAGTCATAGACGCCATCTAAAATTGATACACTAAGAAGTAGCAGAAAATGCATATTACATAGAAAATATGGAGATAAATATCAGATGACTTTACCTACAAGGGGTAAAAGGGCTTGTTTTCTAGGAGCGTCTGGGTGGCTCAGTCAGTCGAGGGTCTGACGCTTTGTGTCGGCTCAAGTCACGGTCTCACAGTGTGTGGGTTCGAACCCCGTGTTAGGCTCTGGGCTGACAGCTGTGGAGTCTGCTTGGGATTCTCTCTCTTCCTCTTTCTCTGGCCCTCCCTGGCTCTCTCTCTCTCTCAAAATAAATAAACATTTAAAAAGTAGGAGGGGGCTTGTTTCTAGAAAAAAAGAAACTGGAGTTGGAGGGTGTAGGACTCCCCCTCAAAGGTGGTCGTCTTAGAGATGTATGTTTTAGAAACTAACGTACATAGTAATTTAATAAAAGTAAAAATTTTATTTAGAGAAAGAAGGACTCACTCTGTATCTCAGACCCTGGGAGATGTTGGTGAAGGTGTGGGCTGCAGGAAGTGATAATCATGACAAAAAGAGAAGATTCACTGGAGAGCTGAGCCATACCAGCTCCCAAGCCCAGGGGAGTGAGCCTGGGGGCACCCGGGCAGAGGGGCAGCTCCCCGGCTGCGGGTTGTGGGGAGCACGTGTACAAAGCAGCCATCTCTTGACCATGGTCTCTCGGAGATGCATGGGCTTGCCTTTTCACTGAAGTCCTAGCCAACATCACACCATCACACCGCCCTAGCAAGAAGCACAGGAAGCTTGTTAGGAAAACCCCGCTCAGCAGGATGGTCGGGTTGGGAAACCCGTGTTCAAGCCCCCTCTGCCCCTCATGAGCCCTGAGACCCCGCAAAGTCCCTCTCTTCCCTCTTCCATGGAACAGGCTGACTTCACGGGGTGCCTCCCTCACAGGGCCTCCTAGAGAGTGAAATCGTCAAGGGGGAAAGCGCTTTGAAACTGTCAAGTGCTGATCAACCACGGGTCCCCATTCCCCCCGCTTTGGCAACTGGACCTCGACCGCCTCCCCGCACGTTGACTGGAGAAAGAGAGAGCAGCCCTCTGGATTATGAAGAGAAATGGCCCATTCTTCCCATGACCTAGAAAATTTTCTCCAGGGTCAGAGTTACCTGGAAAAGTTGTGGAGAGCTGGGACACTACCTCTTCCCCGGCCGAATGAGGCATGAACATCACGAGGGCTGAGAGAACTAAGACATGAAGGTATCAGAGCCCCCACTGGCTTGATGTGACCATTTAAGTACCTCACCTCACCTTTCCTCACCTTTCCTACTTTCTCCAATAGTTCTGGGTGACCCATGCTTTTTGCTTTTCCTGAACTTCTTTCTGCTACACTTCCGGGGTAGGAGGGGCGGTTATCCTTTTTTTTTTTTTTTTTTTTTTTTTTTTTTTGTGCAACATGAAACTATTGGAGACCAAGAGCAGACTCCACGCATCTCCTCTTCGGAAGCTCTTCACATGAAAGAATGAAACACCCCGAGCAGCGCTGACTTGTGCCATGTGTGTGGCCCACCGGCACAGGTGTCCGTAGGCAGGTAGATGGGAAGATGCTGATGGGCACAGAACCCTGAGATGTCTCTTCCTGGTGATTTCCCGCAGGGGAGGGTGGCTCTAAGGCTTTCTCGAAGGTGTTTAGTGTTGAGACTCTTTCTCCACGCCTATAGCTAATGTTGGCATTGCTGTCTCCCCACAGGTGTCTGATGTTGCTTGCAATCAGACGTACTTTTGGAGAAAAGGTGGCAGGAACCATTAGAGGTAGCTTTAACCACCTTGTTGCCAACACAGGGAGAGGACTGTGCCGATGGAGCCCACAAATTGGCCCATTTAGTTGGGCACAAGGTGTTAGCCTTCTAGTGTGTCCCAAATTTATCCTTGAAATCTTCCTAAAGAGCAAAGCAGCGCATTTGTAGGCATGAAAACCTGCAGTGTGGCCCTGAGAGCTAGGATTCCATCAGCAATTCTGCACCTGCTATTGAACACGGCCTGCATTTTGTTTTACGTAATGGAGGCCTTGGGATTTGCCCGGTGGGGGGTGGATTCCTTTCATTTTGCCACAGAACAGGAAGAGCTCCATGTGGAAGACTGTCAGCTGCTTTCGGGAAGGATGGAGTTCTACACATTCTCTCTCCGTGTGTGCATTGCTCCTGAATGTTTTAGAGGTTCTCTGGAAGACTAAGGTAAGGGCAGAGTCCTGAACAATACACTTGCCTATACTATTCAACGGGAAAGGAAGAACATTAGCTAAAACAGACACCATTTCTCAGTGAATAAAACGTAGAAACCTTGGGGCGCCTGGGTGGCTCAGTCGGTTGAGCGTCTGACTTCGGCTCAGGTCATGATCTCACAGCTCGTGAGTTCGAACCCCATGTCAGGCTCTGTGCTGACAGCTCAGAGCCTGGAGCCTGCTTCTGTTTCTGTGTCTCCCTCTCTCTCTCTGCCCCTAACCCACTCACATTCTGTCTCTGTCTCTCTCAAAAATAAATAAACATTAAAAAAATTTTTTTTAAAGAAAAAAAAACGTAGAAACCACCACAGACTTAAGAAGTTGTTAAATTACATCAGGCGAGTATTCTTTTCTGTAGCTTTCCCCTGTGTCATAAAAGTGTCACTTACAGAAACGTTTATAATGCAGAGAGGAGTCTCGAGTCTAAAAAGAGAATGATGGTGTTTGAGATAAAAATTATATGTCTTCGTGATTCATCCATCTAATCAATCGATATTTTGAAGAGCCTTCTACATTCTGGGATACAGAGATGGTTAAAACCATGTGAAAAGGTACAATCTCTGCTCTCTGGCTTAACAGGAGAGAAACATGGAGAGGAAGACGGAAAGCCAGGGAGAGACAGAGAGGTCCGGGCTGCCAAAGATCAGAGACAGAGTAGACAGACATCTTTCAGCACCACACACAGAGCTGGCAGAGAGGTGGCATAGGGTAAGCCACGGATTGCTTGCTGTGGGATACTGGTCAACTCACTCGATCCTTTTAGGCTTATGTTTTCCCATCTGCTGCAAGCTATGTTTTTCAGTGGAGCAGAAGAATTATATAATTGTATAGATTGCCTCAACTTCTAAACACATGGAAGTTTCATATGCAAGTAAGGGGATTTGTTCTTTCAACAAATATGAATAGTGGTCAAGGCTATGTTGCTGTATACGTTGTGTACAATTGCAAGAAAAAAGCACATACGGTCTCTAATCTTACAGGGCTCACATTATCATGAGAGTGCTTAAACATGGGCTAGATCACCTAGTAAGATATGTAGTGGCATCTAATAATACAGAATTCATGTCCAAGGGAGACCCCAGAGTCTGACCTGCCTCCTAATTCCAGGTCCACCACTTACAAGCTATAAGACTTGGAGCATTTACTTCTCTAAGCCATATGTTTCTTATCTGTAAGCCTGGAGCTAATAATACTGACTTTGTACGGCTGGTCTGAGAATTAAATGAGATAATGCATGTGAAGTGCTTTTCGCAGTGATTGGAACAGAGTAAGCACTCGGTAAATGGTAGCTTTCGTAATGATCTTTAAAAATACTTTCAATTCTGAAATTTCTACAGCTGGCCTATTTTAGTCTCTGAGGGTAAATAGAAATACCGTACAAAGAGAAGAGACAACAGCACAGAGCCACGTGGGGCCTGAAGAGGCCCTGTTTAGTACATGTGTCTGGTGTGGACTTGAAAATTTTTGTTCACTTCTTTCAAATCTTGTTCAGGAACCATGAGATACATAAATGCTTGAAATTCACATGTCTACATGTTGCTGGCTCATTCTCTTCTTGGCTGATTAGAGCAAGGGTATGAATCAACAAGTAATGAGATTTGTTTGTTGTAACTGCTTTTGTCCTATCCATCCCTGAGCAAATATACATTTGGACCTCATCATTTCCTATTCTATGAACTCTGACAGTCCAACATTTCATTGGCTCATCTCCAAAGAGACCAGTTTTATTTTCTAATATATTAATTTGCTTGAAAACTGAATTTGGGTGATTCATCGTAACTAACATATTTTAGCTGAAATAAGAACCTTCACAAAAAACCTAGAAAACACAGAGGCAGGATATATCAATGACCAACACTTTGGGTGTGACTTTACCTAGAACAAGAAATCCTAAGTTGCTATTATAAGTGTATACTATTTTCCTTTAAATTATGAAATAAATTTTTCCATGGATTTACCCAAAAAGATTTTCTTAAGCATAATCTGCTCAGACTAGAGGGATTTTTTTTAAGATTAACTTTTAAGGCACTCTTGAGATTTGCATAAATCTTTCTTAATGACAAATTTCTGTTCAGCTATTCTGCTTCTCTCTATAATATTTGGAACCATTTCCCTCATCTATATCTTTTGTCTTTCCAAAGGCATTTTTACGGAGGGTTAGGTAATGAAATCACAAAGAACTTATTCCATTGCAATTTTCCTGAGACATTTGCCATTCTCGGAACAGATTGTTTTATAAGCATATTTTACCCACTCACATAAAACAGCAAGACAGATTTTCTTCCAAAAGAAAATAGGTTGCATGCTTCTTTAACTATTGCCTTTCAATTAGAATAGGCAAGAGCACGCTTCCCAAATGCTAGACAAATAGCCCAGTGTGCCGCTTATATGTCATTTCGATCGGTTTACGGTGACTAACATATGGACTTACATTGATGTGTATATCCATCCGATATGCACTGAAACCTACCTGTGCTGGGCTCTGGGCTAGTGCTAGAGAGCCCACAGAAGGTTAGGAAGACACTGTCTCTGTCCCCAAGGGCTCACAGCTAGTCAGAGAGACAGAGGAGGCTTCAAAAGAGGGGATGCCGCTTGAGCTGAGCCTTGGAGGAAGATTAGAAGTTTGCCAGGTAGGGGCGCCTGGGTGGCGCAGTCGGATAAGCGTCCGACTTCAGCCAGGTCACGATCTCGCGGTCTGTGAGTTCGAGCCCCGCGTCAGGCTCTGGGCTGATGGCTCGGAGCCTGGAGCCTGTTTCCGATTCTGTGTCTCCCTCTCTCTCTGCCCCTCCCCCGTTCATGCTCTGTCTCTCTCTGTCCCAAAAATAAATAAACGTTGAAAAAAAAAATTAAAAAAAAAAAAAAAAAGAAGTTTGCCAGGTAGAGGAGAGATGAACTGATATTCCAAGCAGCAGAACAGCCTTTTCAAAGGTCCGGAAGCACCAACTTGCACAATAGGTTCGGGAAGTGATGACGTCAGTACACATAACCAGAGGACAGTTGATGGCCCTTAAACAAAGGTGTTCAGTGGGTGGATTAGCGTGGATGGCTAATGCACATTTTGGCCCATTTCCTAATCATACATCATAGGCCACTTGAGCTCAGGTTTCCTGGTCCTTCAGCACCAGATGGCCAGCTCCTGTCACCATCCACTAGACCCTTGGGGGTCACCTTCTTCCAAAAGCCTCCCGTGCTCATAAAGATGGTGGTGACGTAGCCACTCTGTAGGCAAGGTGTGCGGGATAACTCGAGGGTGAAGGACATACATTCTGAAATCACTTCTGCCCCCTCCTCAGTGACCTTCAGCAATTGACTTAACCTCTTTTGCCTCAATTTCTTCATGCATAAAATGAAGATTAAAAGGGACTAACCTCATAAAATCGTTGCAAAGACTAAGCATCATGAAATATCTAATGATTTACATTTTTTTAATGTTTATTTATTTTTGAGAGAGAGACAGAGTGAGAGTAGGGTAGGAGCAGAAGGAGAGGGAGACACAGAATCGGAAGCAGACTCCAGGCCCTGAGCTGTCAGCACAGAGCCCGATGCAGGGCTTGAACCCACAAACTGTGAGATCATGACCTGAACTGAAGTCGAACACTTAACCAACTGAGCCACCCAGGCGCCCCAAAGTATGTAATGATTTAGATAAGTGATTGGCCCATAGTAAGCACTCAGTGAGTTTTACTTATTGTTTATTCAAATAATATGCTTCCCCCAACAAATGCCTCATTAGTCTGCACAAATAAAATCCTAATAACAGTTCCCCTATTCGCTTCGTTTTCTGTAAGGAAGGTCAAAAGCTTGTTGTTTCTGCTGCTTTCAGCCTGATAAGGAACCTCCACATTCTGGCAGTTAAAGTGCTTCCCGTTTCTCCACTTCCTCCCACCATTACCTTTATCATATCTGACATTTGCTAAAAACAACCTAATTCCCTTTTTTCATCTAATCATATGATGTAAATAAAACTCATGTAATAATGCCACCTGAGTCTCTCTTCCTTGACCTCTTCCCAGAGGTTTTCCATGAGCTTCCCCTGGGGCTGTGGCAACCCCAGTAGGTAAATATTTCTGGATCCGCAGGGCCACACTGCATGTCTCTCCCCATAAGCTGGTTCCCTTTGAAAAAGGCATATTTATCCCTCCCCCGACTAAAATTCCGAGTTTCATCCCATAGGTTAAAGCAACCAACCCCTGAGATTGTATTTTTATGTTAATGTCCATTGCATCCCAAGGCTCTGCATGTTGGCGTGTAGATGTCAAATGCTCCTCATACTGTTTCTGGTTCTCCCTCTCCCCTCCTTCAGTGTTGTTCCATGTGAGTTCCCTGACAAAGCCCCTTATTCCTCCGTACTCGGGAACTTGATCTCTCCCTCCTTTATACTCAGTGTAAAGTTTCCTAAACTGGCGATTCTCTAGGCAAGTAGACTCTTCCCTTTCCTGGTGAAATACAACTCACGCCTACCCGAAGAGTCATTACCATATCTTAAACTGTGCTTCATGAATCAAACTTGAAATCTCACAGCCTTTGCAAAGCCAATCTTCATCTCACTTCTGAAGTCTCTGAAGAAAACTGCCACCTGTATCTCCAAGTCTTCTACTGTAACATCATTATAGTGATAATAATGCCAACAGATAATGCTTCTTGGCCCCTAATATATGTCAACGGAGATACTTCACAAACATCAGTTCATGTAACGTTCATAAGAGTGCTGTGAGATAGGCACTATTAATTTGCTCATTTTACAAATAAAGGAAATGAGGGGCACGTGGTGGCTCAGTCGGTTAAGTATTCGACCTCAGCTCAGGTCATAATCTTGTGGGTCGTGGGTTCGAGCCCCACATCGGCCTCTGTGCTGTCAGTGCAGAGCCTGCCTCGGATCCTCTGTCCCCTCTCGCTGCACCCCCACGTGCATGAGTACTTGTTTCTTTCAAAAATAAATATTTTTTTTCTAAAAAAAGGGAACGATGCTTGGAGGTAAAGTAATTTGGCAAAGTTCGCACCAGTAGGAAGTGTCAGAACAAGGATTCAAATGTAAAACTTTCTCCATACCAGACCCATACTGATGATCATTAGATTCTACGGTCTTGCCTCAAGATACTTTAGAATACAAAGTTTTCTGACTCTCATGTGGGATACATTAAATAATTACCCCGAATTTCCCACCTCTTCCTATATCCACACCCTTGTCATGGCCTCTCAATGCTTCAGCATGTTCTCTCTGCCCTTGACTTTTGGCTTGACCATGTGACTGGCTTTGGCCAATAAAATGTGGATAGAAATGACAGGCTTGGTCCTTGTAGTAGTCTCCTGGGGCTGCCGTAACAAATCACTACAAACTTGGCAGCTCACAGCCACAGAAATTTATTCTCTCACTGTTCTGGAGACCAGAAGTCCCAAATCAGGGTGTGCACAGGATAGTTCCTTCTTGCCAACTCAAAGGGAGAATGTGTTCTGTGTCTTTCCCCTAGCTTTGGGCAGTTGCCAGCATCCTTGGACTTTGGTTGTATCAGCAAAACTCCAGTCTCTGTCTCCGTGATCATATGGTCTTCTCCCTACGTGTCTGTGTCCAAATTTCTCTTGTCTTAAGGACACCAGTCATTGGACTAGGATCTACCTCAATCCAGTATAACCTCATCTTAATTTGATTACATCTGCAAAGACCTGATGTCCAAAATAAGGTCACATTCATATAGATAAGAGAGGGGGAGCATCAGGATTTCAACTTTCTTTGGGGGGCACATAATTCAACCCACAACAGGCCTTAGAAAGCATTTGGTTTTCCTGCTTGGCTCCATCACCAGGGAATGACCTCCCCCAGATCGCTGCTGCCCTTCATCCCAGGCCCAAGAATGAACAGCTGTGGAGCTGCCCCAGCCCAGCCAGATGGGCCCTCAGCCTGATCTTGGCCAGTGGGCCAAGTCCAGCCTATGGGAGCCACCCCCACCTGACCCACAGACCATGAGAAAACATGATTGTTGCAATCCATGGTGTTTTGAGGTGGTTTATTATGCATCGTTTTTGCAGTAAAACTTAATCATGCAATTGATTTCCTACCCATTAGAAATACCTAATTAAAAGCTACAATTGGGAAAACCCAATCTTAAGAACAGAAAAAAACCATACTATTCCTAGATATATTACCCCTCAGCAGGTCTTGGCTCCGTGAACTTAAACTTTCTGTTATTTATGGAAAACAGACTATTTTCTAATTTAAAAAAATTATTTGGACCCCACTGGAGCTCCATTGAAGAAACAAGGTGAGCCCATCCATAGATAGTAAGGAGGACTGAGGAGGACAGGAAAAGAGCTAAAGATGTAAAACAAAATAGCCCTGCCTTGCACTTCCTTGAGATCTGTTGGGTGAGTGTGAATGCTTCTGTGGGTGAACGGGGTGAACTGTAGCCTGTTATAATGATGTCTAGATATTTGTTTCTTGTTCCTCAAGGGCACTTCTAGAAAAAAGCAGCAGCTGCAGAGGAGCCTAGACACTTTACCAGGAAGAAAAGCAAGTATGGAGGCTCCTAGAAGCCAGGCACATGGCCAGGCTATTCATTTCGTTGGGTCGTGGGAGTTCAAGCTACATGTTATGCTCTGACTTCCTCGTCTCATTCAGCCCCTTCCTCTTGTCAGACATTTCCCAGTCCCGACTACACTCAAGCTTCGCCCAGGAAGATTTTTCACACTGATAATTAGAATCGACATATTTATGGGGCTCTATTTTTGCGTGGACCATCCGGTCTGAGGCCAGTATTCCTTTTGAAGTTGGGAGAATTGGAACCTTGGAGGAACTGAACAGTTCCCAGAGAGCAGAGCCTCAGGGAATAAAACTTTAGACAGGCCTTAAGATCATTAGTGCTCGTTTTCCTTCACGCACAGATATGTCTCTGGAAAACCTTTGGTGGCCAAAGTCATTAATGATCACATATAAAACCCTAATTAATCCAAATGGGAATCCAGTTCTTGACAAGCTGATTTCATCTCCATTAGATTTGTGGTTTGCAGAACCTGGGACCACTTTGCCCCATAACAAAAAGCAGTCACACTCCACCCTGTTGAAGTCTGAGTCACTCGAGCTTCGAGTTCCCGGGTGATTTTGCGTGAGTCATTGTTCCACATGAGGATTTCTAATTCAGTCAACAAAAAGCACTCAAGTATTCATCTTTTGCTACCAATTACTCAGTTTTGAAATGACATGTACCCGCAGTATTCACTGGATCCGGACCTCTACAAAACGCACCTTAGAACAATTTGTTCTCTTAAATGAGTAGCTAGAAAAGTTCCATTATGCCAAGCACAATGTAATTGTTGCCCTGGCAGACAGCTGCCCAGGAAAGGCACTCTGGACTGTCGTTTGATACTTGAGAGTCGGCTCCTGTAGGAGGACAGGTGCATTTAGAACACCACTGAGGGATGGATGGAAACAAAGAAGGGCATCGAGTGAACTCTATGATTTAAGATCATTAATTAAAGCTCTCTAAACTTCCATTTCTTCATCTGTAAAGTGAAGATGATAGTGTTGCCTGCCCATCTTTCAGGATGATTATGAAAATGTGTTCAAGTTAATAAATGTGTAAGCAGTACGTACTAAGCCCAACGCTGTAACAGTTATCTCTGGAAATATGATGGTACACTAGTGTTACTTCTTGATTCAATGGTCATTTAATGGAAAAATAAAATAACTTAGATAACTTGTTAAAATCCTTACAAATATAAAACAGAGGCAGTAGTAATGGGAGTAAACTCAGAGAGTCAACATTCGGAGGGAACAGAAAGATTCTGCAGCCTAATCCTTTCATTTTTTAAAACTTTTTCTAATGTTTATTTATTTTTGAGAGAGGTAAATGAAAGTGCGAGCAGGGGAGAGGCAGAGAGAGAGAGGGAGACACAGAATCCAAAGCAGGCTCCAGGCTCTGAGCTGTCAGCACAGAGCCCAACAAGGGGCTCGAAATCACGAAATGTAAGATCATGACCTGAGCCGAAGTCAGATGCTTAACCGACTGAGCCGCCCAGGCGCCCCATAACCCTCTCATTTTTAATTAACCGAATGCCACAGAGATGAGCAACTTTTGCCAGGATGTATGTACAACTAGTAGAACTAAATATTGGTTGTTAAGATATTCCAACTTTTAAGCAGATTCCTCAAAACTCAGAGAGTAAGAGCTGGTACAGTCAGCTGCAATTTAAACAATTCTACGGGGAAGGTTGGAGACATTTAGAGAAACTTCTCAGCTCTGGTTAACACTGCAGGTAAAGGGTCAAGCTCCGGAATCAGACTGACCGGGTTGGATTCTGGGTCTGCCACTCATTAGCTAGTGACCTCGGGCAAGTTACATACATGTCTATGTCTCATTTCCTCCTCTGTAACATGAAGATAATAAAGTACCCAACTCCATAGGGTTGTTGTGAGGACTGAAATGAATTAATACGTAAAGGGCTTAGGACAGGGTCCGGCACATGACAGGCTCACAGCAACTGGTATCTATAAAATGGGACTTAAGTAAAGAGAACTCTCTCTCGGGTCATTCTGCTTGTAGGAGAGGTATCTGCAGAAGGGATGATGGGGGCACACACACATTGGACCCAATGGCGGCACTCCAAGCAGTGAGGCAGTGAATGTCTCTTATACCACAAAGCAAACCAGAGCTGTTACCTTCAGGCTACTTCTTTCCTTTCACCAAGACGTCAGCTAACCTCCTGAGCATTTCAGACATCACGTGTGAGTGCGGATGCCGAGAACGAGCCTGAATTCCAGGACTGAGACTCTCATCCACTCAGCTCCTACCTGCGGCTTACTCTGGGTTCAATTAAGGCAGCAGAGGGTTTGCAGAGGAGAGGCGGCCCCTGTTCTGAGATAAAGGCATTGATCACCCTTCATTAACAATTCATTAGCATCCTCTGCCCCACTGGATCTGGCCTGAAGGTTGCCGGGCAGAGCCTGGGGGCGTAGTGTTTGGTTTACACACTGATCGCTATCACTGTGACCATCTGAGGCTTTCTAACCTCAGCAGAGCAGGCCGGCTGGCTGACCCTCGGTCGGGGTCACTCTGGGACAACAGTCCATTTCCCGGACTCGCTGGTAGGCAGGGGTAGAAGCAAAGGCAAAGGAGAGAAAGAACGGGGCTGTAACCTAGTCAATGGAAGTGATACAGCTGGAGAAAGCAGGTCAGCCCAGAGGCGCGGTCAGCACAGGACAAGGCAGTGTCCAATAGGAAGGGGTTGTGCACACTCAGCTCTGTGCTCAGAGCGGGTGACCTGTCCCCGAGAATGCGGTCTGTCTGATTTCGTCTAGATACATCCCTTTGGTGGAGAGGGAGCATCCGGCTTCATTTAACATTCCAAGCAGACAGCCAGCTCCCTCTTCTCGCTCGGATTCCAGCCTCGCCTGGCTGTCTTCCGATGATAATTTGACTTCCCACGTAGATTTCACCACAGGGAGAGAATGTGCTTGAAACAGAATGTGTGTCTGATCTCCTGGCCGATTTTACTTGTCATTGTAAATTAATAAAATGGCGTTTTGATTTACACATCTGTCTCTGGTGAACTTGGTTAGTATGACTGAGGGCCCGATAAACTGATCTTACCTCAGTGTGCTGACAAAACCAATTTTCTCAGCTTTTGAACCTGAAAAACTAAAGGCCAGACCCTGGACGGTGGTTAAATCACCAGGGTAAATTCCTCTTTGAAGTATCTGGCGGGGGGACAGCCAGGATGTCACTTCCCTACGTCCTCTCAAACACATTTTTCTCCTGGACTTTAATCTTTCAAGGTGAACGGTCCATGTTCAATGCCCGCTCAGATGATTGATTCCATGGTGACAAACATGGGAAATGGGAAGTTTGCCCCTACCCTGAGCTGCCCAGTGTTTTGACATACCTACAAAGCACCGAATCACACCATAATTCTGGTGAGCATGTGATTTTTCACATTTTATACATGCCCTCTATTCAAAACTGTTTAGTTATTATTTCTCTATAACCCAAGTTTTCCTAAGCCCATCAGACAATACAAATTAGGTTATGTTATCATTAAACCCAGTGGTGCTGGCTGGGCAGCCCCATCCGCAGACAGGCAGGCCCACAGCCTCTGTTCCCAAGTCCCCCGTCTGGCCTGGAAGCCCTCTGAGGGAATCTCACCTGTGCCCACAGTCCTCTCCTCCGACCTCTTTTTTGAGAGCCTGGCCCTTGCCACACCACTGCTTTTGGTGTTGAAGAAATCCATGAGATTTCTTCTCCTAAGAGTACTGTCTCTGGCAAGCAGCATCTTAAGGGGACAAATGACATGATGTTCCCTCTTGTCATCTCTGTGCCCCTAGAGCCACACACTTGTAGTGTAGAAATGGGTGGCACCCTTCTTCCCTGGCCCGTGCTGCACAATGCTCGCTAGGTCCCAGGGTCACACGACCATGCCCAGAACCTCACATGTCCTCAGTTGGCAGTTCTTTCCTTTTCAACCTGTAGCTCCTCTCTTGAACAGTGACCAAGCTTAGAACTAGGGGAGGGGTGCCTGAGTGACTCAGTCGGCTAAGCATCTGACTCTTGGTTTCAGCTCAGGTCGTGATCTCGCAGTTCATGGGATCAAGCTCCAGGTTGGGCTCTGCTCTGACGGCACGGAGCCTGCTTGGGATTCTCTCTCTGTCCCTCTTTTGCCTGCTCTCTCTCAAAAACATAATAAATAAATAAATAAACTTGAAAAAAAAAAAAGAACTAGGAGAACAGACACCTCACTGTCCTGCCCACCTTCTGTGCCTGCCTCTGATCTGGGGCATGCTCCGAAATCTTCTCTAAGGTTGTACCATTCATTCAGGCAGAGATGCGTGCATCGCTGGGTCTCAGGGTCAAAAACGTCCGTTCAGGATCAAGGAGGAAAATCCCACATGCCCACTCAACAAGCATCTGTGAGCAGATGTTAAGTATGCCAGCTTCTGAGTGAGCTTGTGATCATAGAGACGAAAATGAGACACAGTATTTAGAAGTTCAAAATCTGGAAAGTGAGGCCAACAGAACCCTAAAATGAACCATGGCACATTATTGCAAGTATTATAATAACGGTATGTAGAAAACATGCTAAAGCATGGAAGAAAAGACCCTTCCTTCCTTCCTTTAGTTATTTATTTTTAATTTTTTTGTATGTTTATTTATTTAAGAGAGAGAGAGACAGAGTGCGAGAAGGGGAGGGACAGAGAAAGAGGGAGACAAAATCCAAAGCAGGCTCCAGGCTCTGAGTTGTCAGCACAGAGCCTGATGCGGGGCTCAAACCCACGAACCGCGAGATCATGACCTGAGCCGAAGTCGCAGGCTTAACCGACTGAGCCCCCAGGCACCCCTTATTTGTTTGTTTGTTTGCTTGTTTGCCTAAGGTGTTTCCTAATGCAGAGGTTAGGCAGCAGCAAACAGGAGCTCAGTACACAAAAGGGAGTTTCCTTAGAAGGCTTGCTGGAGATGACAGGAAGTGGCCCTTCCAAGTAGGAGTTGACCGGGTAAACTGCAGAAGGTGTTCTAGGTAAGAGGAAAGATGTGAGCAAAATGTCAAAGGAATTTTATTCTATAAGCTTGATAATTCCATGCATGGGATTTTGCTGCGTACAACCAGCAGCTTTTCAGTAAAACCTTCTGACAAAACAGATACTGCCACGAGGATTTGATCCCTTCTCTCTCTTGATCGCTGAGACTGAAAAACAGCAAAAAGAAGAGGAGAAGGAGGAGGAGGAGGGGGAGGAAGATGACAGCAAAAGCATTTCACGTCCATCCACCAGGTGTGATTCAGCTGAAGAAATTGTGAGGAATATGAACAGTAACATCAGCAGTCCTTTGACGAGTCATATGTAGAGCACTGATTTACATCAGACATTGGCTCATAAACTAACCAGGAAAAAAAAGTCCAGCATTGGGTCAAGGCAGGGGGAAGTTCTAGCCTTCTCCCAATTTTCCTAGGCCAGTGAGACTTGCCAAACCTGAAAGCTATCCAAAAAGCACAGACCAAGGGACAGATTCTGGGCTTCCCCAGGCTTCTCATCTCTTCCTATCTGTGTCTTCATTTAGGGAGAAATCTCAAGATACATGAACCCACTCATCACCTTTACTTACTTTAGATACATTCCTAGTACTGAACCTAGGTGTTCTAAGACACAGTATTCTCACTGCCGGAAAAGGAGCTACAGAGAAAGCAAACCACTAGTTGCCAAGATTCACCATGTGTACCTCACTGGGAGCCCAGCCTGTTGAATCAAACTTCTTAGCAGATAAAGATGTCTGTCACGAGTTAGGAGGGGAGTGGTCTTTTCCCAAGAGATCAGTGCCACCTGAGGGACTGAGGGAATTGGTCTCAGCCCAACAAGCCTGGCAGGTTCTGCTTCCTTAGAAGGATCCCTATCAAAGTTTGCCTTACTTGATATATCAAGAGTGGCATCTTTACACAACACAAATAATACAAATATCTTCCAGAACTACACAATGGAGTTTCTCACACCGCTCTAGGTGCAAAACTATGTGTCTATGATGAGGAAGTCAGGGTGGGTGATGGAGAGCAGATGATTCACATCTCAGTACAACATGCCTATTTTGGGGGAAATCTCTTCCTATCTGTGTTGAATATTTAGATAAGAAATCCAAGCTATCCTGGAAGATACTTTTTGAAGTCAGGTCCATCTACAGAAAAGGAAGGTCGGACAAGGCAACCTTGCATCCGAACATCGGCCTCTGGTCTTGACACATGAGAGAATTTTGATCTAAACAGCACTTCTGAACTTCAGGAACATTTATGTGCCGAACTATTCAGATCCCTGCTGACAGGTCAACAACAGCTGTGTCAAAGTGCCCAATATTTCCAATGGCTATGAGTGTTAGTACTTATGACCCATTGGATAAGGAAGATCC